GTTCAGTAGTTAGTTGGTTTATTTGTCGAGTGGTTTGATTTTCTTACATGAAAATTCATTGTTTGCTATCTATTAGACGTTAAAGTATCCTTTTTTTTTGGTATAGATACATATGTCTTTTAGACGTTAAAGTATCATTTTTATCTAAAAAATTTTCCGTGACTAATCTCTCTGGTTTGGTTCTTCATTGATCGTAGCAATGTCGCTGGTCCGAACAGCAGCAATCGCTCTTCTTCTTATCGGGTTTCTGCAAAACGTTGCGGCTCATCAGAAGAGACATCAAAGTATTGAAACGTCTAAAGGAGCGGTTGCGACGGACGATGGACGCTGTTCTGAAATTGGAATTAGTGTGCTTCGTGAAGGAGGAAACGCAATTGATGCGTCTGTAGCGGCTGCTCTTTGTTTGGGCGTTGTGAGTCCCGCGTCTAGCGGTATAGGCGGTGGAGCGTTTACAGTGGTTAAGATAGCTGGTGGAAAAGAAATAGCTTATGATTCTAGAGAAACTGCTCCTCTCAAAGCCACTGAGGTAACAAAATATATTACTTTTTTGTCTTTGATCATAAATATGCGTTTTAGTATAAGCGTTTTCCTTAGACGTTTTTTGAATCACAGATGACCTTTGTTGTTATTGCTCTTGGTGTAAAACATTTGTGGTTTTGAGCTCTGTAAACATTTTCTATGCGATTTTTAGCTCAAATAGATATGTTCCTCTTACACTTAAGTGTTTCGAACATGTAACTAGCGTTTCTTAACATTTTTTCCTCTTAAATAAGCGTTTAGAACGCTAGCGTTTTCAAAGTTTTTTGAATCATAGATTTATTGACGTTCCTCTTGTTGGAAAAAGCATTTCCTAACATTTTGAATCATAGATTTTTGTTTAGAACGTGATATTGTTTCCTTAACGTGATATTTTGTATGTAATCAAGTTTCTTAACGTTCCTCCAAAACAATGTTTTGTAGCGTTTTCTTTCTTCTGGTCAAATATGTCATTTGAATGAGATCTTGAGGTTAAATAATGTTTTCTTTAACGTTTTGTTACTGAATCAAACAAAACATTTCTTGATTGTTTCTCTTGATGTAGGATATGTACGGTGGTAATCCTGATCTAAAGAGGAAAGGAGCCTTATCGGTAGGTGTTCCCGGAGAAGTCGCGGGCCTATTCACGGCTTGGAAACAGCACGGAAAGCTACCGTGGAAGCAGTTGGTGAATCCCGCAGCGAAACTTGCAGCAGATGGATTCAAGATTTCAAAGTATCTTTATATGCAAATGAACTATTTTAGAGACGATTTCTTAGCAGATAAAGGTCTCTCAAAGATATTTGTCTCAAATGGAGAGATCAAGAAACCAGGGACAATAGTCTGTAACCCGAAATTGGCTTCTACGTTGAGTCAAATTGCGGAAAACGGTCCAAATGTGTTTTACAATGGCACGGTTGGGGTTAAACTAGTGAATGATATACAAAAATTAGGAGGGATAATAACTTTGAAAGATCTTCTGAGTTACAAAGTTAAGGTTAAGGAACCTTTAGTTGCGGATTTACTTGGATATCGATTACTCGGTATGCCGCCTCCTTCATCTGGTGGTCCTACAATGATGCTTGTAAGTCCATTTGTTTGTTTTCTTGCCGATATCTTTTACATTTCATCAAACCTAGAATTATTTTTTGGGAGTTTCTTGTGTTGCAGGTTTTGAATATTCTTTCTCAATATGAGATTCCATCAGGTGTTTCAGGCCCTCTTGGTGTTCATCGACTAATCGAGGCTTTAAAACACGCATTCGCGGTTAGAATGAACCTCGGTGATCCGGATTTTGTAGCGGATGTTTCTAAGGTTGTTTCGGATATGTTGTCTCAAAAGTTTGCACAAGACTTGAAGAGTAAGATAAACGATGAGAAAACCTTTGCTCCCAAATATTACGGTGGCAAGTAAGTTTCATTCGATTTGTTAGCTAAAAAAACCGCGGATATTTCTTCTTCGATTCTTGAGTTTTTGATCTTTCTTTCCCCAATTTTGTAGATGGAATCAGATTAAAGATCACGGAACAAGCCATTTATCAATCATAGATTCTGAAAGGAATGCAGTTTCAATGACTAGTACAATAAATGGTTACTTTGGGGCAATTATGTTGTCTCCGAGCACCGGAATTGTTCTCAACAACGAAATGGATGATTTCTCGATGCCTATGAAATCCCTAAACCCCGATGTGCCTCCGCCGGCACCGGCTAACTTTATTCGTCCTGGAAAACGACCTTTGTCCTCTATGTCACCCACCGTTGTACTCAAGGTAAGAAGAAAAAAAACCTATTACTTGTGCTACACGAAAGGGTTCTAAACAACGGTTTTTTTTTGCTCTGGTTTCCGCAGGACGGTAAAGTGAAAGCTGCGGTGGGTGCAAGCGGAGGAATGTTTATCATCGCTGGAACAACGGAAGTTTTCTTGAATCATTTCTTCCTCAACATGGATCCTCTCTCTCTTCAGTCTTGGCTCCAAGAATCTACCATCAGGTTTTTGCTTCTTTTTCATTTTTTTTTTATACACAAAATGGAAACTTTCTTGTTTTTTGTTCATAGCTAAACTTTGCTATTTGTGATTTTCATTTTTTTTTGCAGTTGATACCAAACAAAATTTCTTATGAGAATTGGACTACGGTTTACAATGATCATTTCGAGATACCTAAAGAGACAAGACTTGTGTTGGAGAAGAAAGGTCATGTCCTAACTCCAATCGCCGGAGGGACGATTTCACAGTTTATAGTTGAAGAATCCGGTGGAAATTCCGGCGGAGTGAGTAGGCTTGTGGCCGTTAGTGATCCAAGAAAAGGAGGATTCCCTTCAGGATATTGAGGTCCGATTTGATATGTTCTATGTTGTGTATTGCATCGAACATTAATTGATGAATAAACAAATATTATAATAATGATGCAAAGATCTTTAAAAAGAAATTATTTTTATTAACTAAACGTATATATCATACAAACAAAGTTATAAAGTACTTCAAATGTCAAATATTCTATATAGAAATTGCAAGATAGTGGTGATTTTTTCTTTTTCTTTGAACAGGTGAATTGTTTTCATATAATACTTTTCTGGGATAGCCATTTTGACTTGTATAATGTGAGATTGGTGGTAACATCATCCGGAATGTCAGTAATCACCACTGACTTATCAACTCCAATATTGTTTTTGCACCCCAG